CTCTAGTTAGTTTCTAATTCATAGCTGACAACAGATCCTGGCACACCACAATGATATCAATGGCAGAAAATGCATGAACATTATTGTAGTACTAGCAAAATATTCTTCCAAATGGAAGCATAACTTTGTCTCTCATTTGATGATTCTTACACCAAACCTGAGTTACTGTATTTAAAAACGTTTCACTGTCTTTTGACCGTCTTTTAAAATCAGGAACTTAATTTAAGTTTCAGAGAGAGAGACTTTTATACAGTAATGACACATCTCCCTGAAGTGCTGCTTATACAGAGAGGAGAAAAATCCACAAAAGTATAAACTGTATTTTTATAATACTTTGAATTATTGGCAACATTTCTATACACATTTTCTGTATTTTAGTTAAACTGGTTTAGCTTAAATTGATTGTAAATGCTTCTGTAGTTGAACTTATTTATGTTTAAAACTGGCTTAATTGACTGTCAAGACAAGTTTTACTGAACAGTATAAAGTTAGTAGCTGTTGTCCTTTGGAAATACAACCCTCGGTAGGATACGGGGGTATCTTTATGGCCCTACATACTTTTATGACACTTTCATTTTTACTCTGTTCCTAATCTACGAATTGATCTAAAAGAAACACTCGCTCCTTTTGCTTTAATGTCTTCCAGTTTTGCAGGCAATATTTACAGAATCCAAGCAGGGAAGAACTCATATTCTTGAACAGAGTCTTGGATCATGCATTAGGCAGCGGGAGATTTTGCAGGGTTCTGAGGGATCAGAAAAGCTCAAGACTTGCCCACTTGATTTATTCTGTCCCTCACAGTAATATGAGGAGAGTCCGACATTTTTCCATTACTGTTCCAGTAATGATACACTTACATTCAGCAAGAAAATAAGATCCAGTATGAATCAATGCTATAACAATTTACTCCTTGCAAAAGGTTTTAATTCTACCACAGTTGAATTTTTGACACACACATTTTACCATTTAAAAATCAATTAGGACTGTAAATTGCACCTAAACCACATTTTTTCAGCACCTTGGGCTGGGGTTGGGTGGGGGCATTGGAGAAATTATACTGATAGCAGAAAAGCAGGGGAGGGGGTGGGAAGAGAGAGGAAAAGAAGTCTTTCTTGCCCAGGATCGCTATTCTTGATCTACAACTGTTACTGCTGCTGCTTTAACAGCACAAATGTAGTTATTGCTGCTAAGGATCAAATAGTGGCACCAAAAGCCCCTCCTGCAGCTTCACTTCCCCCTTGCCCCTAAGGCAGAGCTGACCTTCCCATGGCAACCCCCCTGCCCCTCCCTCCAGCCAACTAGATACACTTCTGGGAATGGTACTGTACCCGCCCAGCTCCCTATGCATGGACGGTGCAGGGACTGCATGTCATGAAAAGACTCCTGGTGGGAGACGGCACACCTTCCAAGGTGGCACCCAGAGCTGGTGTCCTTCTCGTCGCACCCTAACTAAACTATCATTTAACTGTGTTTTGAACAATTTTTTTACTTGCTTGTGATACTGTTTAATGTTCAACACAACAGTATCTGTCTGGTCTCCCACAAATGAAAAAGGATTGCAATTCAAAGATTTATTTAAAACCTTTGGCCGTGTCCATATAAGTGAACATGTGCCTGTTGTGGCATATAAAAGCAGTTTGAAATAGTCATAGTCATAAGGCATGTCCACACATGCAAGCACATGTGCTTGCAGCAGCCCAAATAGAAGCGGTGCAAATTTGAGTTGCGGCTTTTTCCCTCAGCGTACGTGCTTGGACATGCACTTTGTTGGGGAGAAAATTGTGCCACTTGGGGCAAAATAACCCTGTCTGGCTCCTCCTAGAGCCAGGGGGAGCTAGAGCCTGGGGCCAGCACCTGTGCTGGCCCCAGCGCGGGGGGCCGGCCCCTGTGCTGGCCCCAGAAGTATAAAAAGCTGCCGTGTCCTGGCCTCATCCATATAAAAAGCTGCCCTGGCAAGCAGCTCATGGCTACTCATTCTCAGGAGCTTCTGGGGAAGAAGCCTCTGGGAGAAAGTTGGCCATGCCTCTTCCTGTCCCAGGCTGCTGCTGCTGTGGCTGGTTGCTGCAAGCTTGGCCTCAGGAGCTTCTGGGAGAAGATGGTCAGGCCCTTTCCTGCCTATGCATACTATTAGCTGCTGACTTGGTCTCAGAGCTTTTGGAGCAAGTTGGCCACATCCCTTCCTGCCTTGGGCTGCTGCTGTTGCTACCCCCCCCAGCAGGGGAGGGTCCTCTGCTGCATGCTGCTACCCCCCTCAGGGAGGGGTGCAGTGCAGTAGACCCCAACACTGCACTCCAGCTTCTGCATACTGTTGCTACCCCCCCCAGCAGGGGAGGGTCCTCTGCTGCATGCTACTACCCCCCTCAGGGAGGGGTGCAGTGCAGTGGACCCCAACACTGCACTCCAGCTTCTGCACCCCTGTTCCGGTCTGCTGCTCACCCCGCCACCAAGCCATGGTCGGGTGACCACCTGGGGAGGGAGCCTGCACTGCCTGTGGGCCCCTCGCCCAGCATCACTGCCAGAGCCTAAAGGAACCTTGCCTGACCCAGCTGCCTTGACAGGCCTGTTACCTCTCAGCTTCCTGTTCTTGGGGAATCCTGACATAGGATGCAGCCTGTCTTACTCACAAAGAATTTCTCCCCACCCCACCCTTCCCCTCTCCTCCTCTACCTGAACAAGAACTGATTACAAAAGACAATGAAGATGCAGTGAGAGACCCACCTAAAGCCCTCCAGATAATGGAACAACTGCCCTAGGTTTCATTTGCATCCAAGATGGAACCAGATGACAATTCATTTACATGGGAGATGGAGAACAGAGAGCCCAAAGCAAAGACTGCAGTGAATTCTGGGGTCAGAAAAGCAGGGGAGAACTGCATGATGGGAAATCTGTGTTCCAAATGCTAATCAACCCACATTTACACACACCCAGCTCAGCATTTATCAGACCAATTCTAATCTGGATTTACAAAGGGCTCCTGCCCCCCCCATCTAACCAGAACTAAGCAGAAGTAAAGTTTAATAGGCACCATGGGCCATACATTCCCTGGTCACATTATGGGAGGCCTATTTAAACTTGATTGACTAAAACTTGGTTGCCTGGTTAGGGAATGCTGAGGCAAGAGACTGAGTCAGAGGGGGTATGGGCAACATTTGAACAATGGTTAAGGGTTCATCACAGCGTTCAGCCCTTTGGAGCCCTGACCACAAATGCTGTCATACTTTTCCCAGGTTGACTGTTGGAAGTCCTCCCCACAAAGTTTATGAACATTCCATGTAATCCCCTTAAGTCTGTCAAAAGACTACAGTAAGATCTAGAAAAAGTCATGCTAAGCTGAGGCTTGTTCACAACTGGTAAAAATACAAAACCCTGATGCTGCAAGCTATCTATTGTTTCTGAAGAAACAATGAGGTATCCCCATCCATTATACCTTCTATCCATAAGAATTTCAAGTCGGCTCCTAAGTGTCTGGTTACTCCTTAAAAATGTGTGCTTTTCCTAGTTGTTAATCAGTTTCTTGAGATGTTCCAAACCAGACAACCCCTTGTCAATAGAAAAGACAATTATATACACTATTAAAACACTATAAAAAGAGTATATACACTATTAAAAGAATGCTATGAAGAAGCTGAACTGAGGGTATAAAAATCTGTAAAAAAAGCAGCAAAGTTGTGCTTCAAGAGGAGAAATCTCTCTGACACCATCCACTGTTGTTCCCGAGAAGCTGGAAGAAACAGATCATCTCCCTTCAAGGATTGTGCTAAGAACTTTACCTGTCAGCATTGGAACCTGAGTGCCTTGGGCCGGTGAGATCCCAGCTCTCGCTCGCTCTCTCTCTTTTCTCTCTAGGCATAGATTTCTGAACCTGAACTGTATTAGTTAAGCTTGAGCTAAGTTTTCTCAAATACTTAGTGAAACCAGGGTAGTATTGTAATTATTTCTGTTTGTTTTCCTTTGCATGTCTATTACTACTAGTACCATTATATATTTCATATACTTAGCAATAAATAACTTTTATAGTCAAACTGATAGTAACTGGGTGTATGTTTCCTTCTCTACTTTCCTTCCCCACTTGCTCTGAAGCAACTCTTCTTTTACCTAAGCTAAAGATGCCCAGAAGCCCAGAAATGCTGTGGGGTCTGCTCATCAAGAGGCTACCACTACTAGGACAGTTAGGACAAAAGACGGATGTGCTGAGTTTGAAACACATAAGGGGATCAGCTTGTGTAGGGTGATTGGCCCAGTTTAGCTCAGACATGCCCTAATGAACTGAATGCTGGCCCATGGGGGTGTCAGCTGGACACCCAGCTGGATTCAGAGGTATTCTGTTTACCTGTGTGCTTGTGTCTGACTGCAGTTTATTGTTGCTCTGATGAACTGATTCTTGACATATGAGGGTGTCAGCCTGTCCATGCTGATCAACCCGGCCGGGTCAGGCATGTTACGTTAATCTGTGTGTTTGTGTATATAACTGATCTGGTGACTGGAGGAACCCATTCCCATTGAAACTGAGTCCTGCAAGATAGCTCCATTGGGGGTGAGAACTTGTAGAAGAAAGATATAGAGCTCCATATAGAAACACAAGTACACAAGCAGCACATTGATAGAATTAAAAAGACCCTAAAAACATATCCCTAACAAATGAGCACACCCCAAAGTGATGGGCAAATCTGGTAACAGGCCACCCCCACCTTCACCTCCACTTTCACCAGAAGCACACCCTGAATGGTTGAACTGGACGGCTCCTACCATCACTGCTGTTGCTGCTGCCATTGTTGCTGCTGCTGTCCCCTCTCCGGAGA